TTCTATTGATACGTTTGAAGTTTTTATGATAAAAATTAAGGCAGTAATTACTGCATAATCTTAATTGACTTGTTGTTCTCATTTCTCGTATACTAACATTGAATTTTAGGTAATTTTCTGGTTCAGCGAATCAGTAGCTGTAAATAGTTCTATAAAGACGATTGTAATTGGTATTCAAAGCTCGTTTATGTATCTACAGAATACAGGTTGTTTGATACTCTTTACAAAATGATGCTGCTATTACATGATGTATTCGGAATTCGCATCTTTCTTTTTATGACGGATTCCGAATTCGGATAATGATTTTAAATTTCTTCCTATGACGCTGTGTGTCGTGGTAGTCTGGCAATTCTGGGTTTTAGGGGTACTTTAAAAAGTTTCGCTGTTCTTTTTAGGACCCAGTAATACATTATAGAGTCACCCAGTTTAAATTGAAACCGCACCCGTCCACTACCGCCGGTTGCCCAAACAGTAAATAATCAATAAATGATCTTTAAATATTGAGACGAATTCATTTGAAGGGGAGATAAGACAATCTGCAACAATTTCATGTCTATTTTGAACTTCTGTTAAAAACATACATGATCGTATTTTTTTTTTTATACCGAGGATATTTGACGTCTGTGTAAACAATACATTGCTCTTATCTCTTATAATTAATTATCAGTTGTGTCTCAAGTGTTTCCTTTGCCTAATGTTAAAATAGTATAATTTAAGGTATATTTAAAGAGACGGATATTCAAAAGGGCGGACGGTTATCAGTGCTGTTCTTGGGAATCAGTACCAGGCATATTGTTCTTTTTGGCCTCCTATGGCGGGAACCTAAGAATGCTACTCCTTTATAAGCGGTGTTTGAGTATTAAGATTCATTTTATGGGAGTCACTAAACACTAACAAGGAATTGAACCGGGTATCGTAAGACCCGCTGCTACCAGATGCACGGCCTCATTCAAAAGGGCAGGGAATTTTAATCAACACCAAAATCTGAATGAACTTATTATCGGGTAATAAGATTATCGCTAGAATTTTCAAAGCGTAATTTCTAACTGGATTACGCCATTAAAGAAAAAATCCTATTTGAGTCAACTTCTTATTATAGCTGGTCCAAAACTAACCCTAAAGATCAAACCCTAACTCATACGGCATTTAGTAAAAACTAACTTCATTTACTTCCTTACCCTTTTAAATTTTGTACATATGAAACATAATTTATAAGATTAGCATATCGTCTTTTAATATATGTGAGACAGGCTTTGACAAACCTACATTAATCTCAAATAGATTTTCAAAGATGTTTTCTTAGTTCCTCCATGAGTCCCATGAGAGTCCTCAATGAGATACTATGGCTAAGAGGATTTATTTCAAAACCCCTTAGAGCAATGGAGAAAAAAAACAAACTAACAATGATATCCTAATGCTAGGAATATTGACGTAACTTGTGACAAATGTGTAATATATTATGAGTGCTAAAAATTTAGCATGAACGTCACAATTTATCGACCTGCTCAAGTGTTATTGCTATGATAAGTTGAAACCAAACCTCCACTTTTAATTTTTAAGGACTTATTTTTGAATTACAAATCAGAGTTTAAAGTCGATAATTACTTTTCCACAAAATCATGTAATAATTATTATATTTGATTTTTAATTTAATAATCATGCCTGATTTATAAATAAAAATTTAAATCGATCTTTGATGTTTATTGATTCGATATAAAATATTGATCAGTCTATGAGTGATACGGTTTTACATAAATAATAATGATTAAATTTAATCATAAAATTAAAATCACCTTTTACACATGTGTGTGTATGTGTATATATATATATATATATATATATATATATATATATATATATATATATATATATATATATATATATATTTTTGTATGGCAAAATATCTAATGAATTTTAGAAATAAAGATGTTCTGTTGCTAATCGTTGACAACATTTCAAAAAGGTTATAGTTCTGATTTAAAAAAGTATTACTCAAGAATTATTTTTGTTGTTAATTTTAAAAATGTTCAGAAATAATGATCAAGATATGATTTTTCATAACACAGGATCAAAAATAAAAACCGCTCCTAATAAAAATCATAAATGAAGTTCAAAATAAATTTCCTTATAAATTTATGGTTGATACATTCACACTTTATGTATTAAACAGGATACAAATTTTAAATTGCTTGGCTTGGTTACCATAATCTGTCATAGGCCTCTGTGCTCCAACATCTGGGTGCCCATTCGTCCCTTATCCTTCAAATTTGTCTTTCCATTGCGTTCTTGCCCATTTATCGCGGGCTTTCTTTGTTGCGTAGATAACTCCTTGGGAAATCTTCTTCACCTGTCCATCCTCATTCATCCGATTAACATGCCCACTCCATCTCAGCCTATTCATTTTTATGCAGCAACTAAGTACAGATCCTTAAATAAATCGTATATATATTTCTCTATTTATCTTAATGCCTCATCTTCCATATCCCTTACACCCGCCTCCATATATTCTTCGTAACACTTCTTTGTCCTTTCAACCCTATCAGGTTGAGCCGTTACTTTATAGATAATCCGTGCCTCGGTTTCATGAGTAGCCACTGGTCTAATTAGAGTTTTAAACACGCAGGCCTTAGTGGAACGTGTTACTAGGTTACTCCTTATCAAACTTTTAGTGAATAGTATGCTCTGTTGACTGCTAAAATCTTTCTTTTTACTATTGCTTCTACATTAGCTTCGAGGTATTCATTATTTTAAATGCGCTCAACAAAAAATGCTATATTTTTTTCATATAAAATTCAGACAGCATATGACAACGAAGCCTCTAATATTCCTACAATTATTCCGTTTTCTTGGAAATTCGCATAATTCAGGTGTTTTTTTTTTTTTGGTCTCCAGTTGTATTTCAAAAATATAATTTATCAGGTTTAAGTATAGCAGATCCCATATATAGTGTATAGAAGAGAAGGGAAGATAAATGGGTAAAAGATAGTTTTAACTCAAAGAAATTAGTGCTATGTAATTGCGCTCTACCATCTTATCTGCTGTTAATACGGTTAATTTTAGGATTTGCACATAAGATAAATACTCAGCATCTTACAAATAAAATAAGACATGCGAATTGTTATCTGATTTAGATGATTGTTTGTTTGCTTTTTCTTTTGTTTTCGATTGTTATGTATAAGAATGTCCTGAACAACAACAACGAGCCATGCTCCAATTTAAAACAATATGGCGATGGATCGTAAATCTATTCCTTTTCGTACAATTTACTGACACATTTCGAAAAACTTGAATTCGGTCCACATTTTGAAGAAATATTCATCTTTATTACCCCCTTACACATATCGTTATCTGGAAATGTATTGTCTGTTCAATAAATCACTCTTAATAAAAAATCACGTTTATGTAATGAACAGAGTAGAGAGAAATTATGTACAGTAGCCAACTTTTATTTGAATACAAATGATTATTGACTGGTAATACTTGGAATGAAAACTACGAATTTTTGAGAAGACTTTTTTTTTGCTATAATTCTTTTTATTGAGTAAAAATAAATACATTTTGCCTCAATTAAGGGCATTGAGTATTTAGGATGCATGAAACAATCATGCCATATATACAATAAAATAAAAACAATAGAAATTTATAACAAAAGAAAAGAAAAGAAAACTTGGAATAACAGAATAAATCAAACCTGGGACAACATTACATATATAAAAAAAAAATTAAAAACATTCATACGTATTTACAATATTTACAGTCAGCCGAGGGAGCTCCGGGTCGGGCTTTTTCCCCCACCTGCGGAAGATAAGGCAAGAGATCCCAGCGCCTCTCTCTCAGCCGCATCACTGAGATAGGAATCCAGTGGAGACTAAGAGAGGGCACTAAAGCTACATACACTCATGACTTGTGGGGAGAAGCTGGCCAGGACTCCAGTGACGTATTTACAAAAGATCTCGAGGCCACTGCCGTTTCAACCTTCTAGGAGGATTGTAGGGATGGCTGGAACTGGATAGGGATTGTGCTAAGGATTAGGATGGTGGATTAGATTCTGATGAAAATTTGAGAATCGGGATGGAATAATGTCAAAGACATAAGGGATGTTAAGGTCGTAATGTAAGGTTAAGGAATGTAATGTTTTGTTCGTAACATAATAAGGAGCATTGACTATTATACGGAGGATTTTAGAATGGAAAGATTGGATGAGTTTGATGTTCGAAAATTAAGTTGTTCCCCACAGTTCAAGTCCGTATGTCCAGATGGGTTTCAGTATGGTCTTGTGTATTAATAGTTTGTTTTCAATAGAGAGATTAGATTTTCTGTTAAGTAGTCTGTATAACTGGCGAAATCGTCAATTAAGTTCGTGTCTTTTAAGTTTGGTATGTGGGTTCCAAGTTAGTTTTTTGTCTAAAAGGAATCCAAGATACCGAACTGTGTCTGAGAGGGGGAAGAGATACAGAGTTGAAAAGGATATGTGGAAGAGGATCTGCGTCGGAGCGTAAAGGTGACATGCTTGCATTTGGATTCATTGATTTTGAGTCACCAATTGTTGCTCTATTAGGGAGATGAGTCTTTGTAGGTTTAGGGATGCTGTTTCAGGGTCTGGATGGGATGATAGAATGGCTTTATTGTCAGCGAATGTTGATAGAAGGATATCCGAATGGGTCGGGATGTCAGCCGTGAAAAGGATGTAGAGAACTGGGCCTAAGACACTGCCTTGTGGAACACCAGCCTCCACTGGATAATAATTAGAGAATTCAGTGCCGCAGCGGACTTGAAAGGAGCGATTTGAGAGGTAGGATTTGAGGACTAGGTACAAGGATTGGGGTAGGTGGGTTTTGAGCTTGAAAAGCAAGCCATCGGGTCACACCCGGTTGAAAGCTTGCGCTACATCCAGAAAGGCACTATTGCTGGTGCAAAGACTTAGAAATTTAATATGTATATATTCAAAGATAAATGCTAATTTATTAATCTACTAACACATTCATTTTCGTTATTTTTAGGATGGAGCTCAATAGAGAATTTTATGAATTCGAAAAAAATGCTTCGGTAAAAGGTAATATTATTTATAACTTATATATTATATATACATTAAGAATCAATAAACAGTAAGTAGAGATGGGTGCTAACGGTTATGGTGTGCGCAGGACACCAGGGCCGGGACGTGGACTCGTGGTTCATGATGTCCAGTATATGGCCCGCCGCGGCGCTCACCTCGGCCTACCTCTACTTCGTCATCGTGGCCGGTCCCCGCTGCATGAAGGGCAGGAAGCCATACAGCCTCAAGCCGGTCCTGCTCCTCTACAACCTGGCCCAGGTCGTCTTCTCCGCCTGGATGGTCGTCAGGGTAAGCATCTCTGCAGGGGGGAGTAATATAGTAGTAACAGGCGGATTGTGCATTGTCTGAGCAGTACCGCCTCTACCTGCGGGGCGGATTCACTGTGGTTAGAAAAGGTCTTACAATAACCCCTCTCCCAACTCCCATATGCCAGAAATTGTGGGATAGGGGTGAAAAAAATAAATACAGACAGTATCAGTTCGGTATTAGACAGTTCTGGAAATATTAGAACAGTGTCAGACAGTGCAGACAATAACAGCTTAGCATCAGACAGTATCATTATTTTATTTATTATTTATTTATTTTTTTCAGATTAATATACATTAATAGATTTAGATATAATAGAGAATTAAATTATTCAGTTGTTAAGATAAGAAGTTCTATTTCCTTATATTATATCATTTCCAAAACATAAATAAACGAATTACTTTCTCCTCTTATACTTGGCAGTTGGAAGAATACAATATTCACTAATTCTTTAATCTTAGGATCAAGTGAAAAAATGACTAACGTAAGTGCCCTGTTATGTAGCAAAACTTTCAAGTAAATATTTGTGCATTTAGACCTATTTATGGATGATTAAATTATTAGACACATTTATTGATATAAAAAATGTTGTTGTAAGTAAAAAAAAGCGCTAAGGTTCTATTTTCCATTTATTTTTAATTTTTAAAAAGTAGAAAGTGATTAAATTGTTTCATTGGCGTTAAATAGAGTAATAAAAGCTTTGTAAATTATTACCCAATGGTTTATTATATTCAAATAGTTATAAGTTCGATATGTATTGCGAACGATTATAACTACGACATTGGAAAATATTTATACACAAAGATTAGGACGTTTCAAAATATTTATTTAATAGTATATCTTTTTAATAAGCTACGTAAAATTTTCATACCAGAATTAGGACTGAACGGGTAGGTTTGAGATATAAAAAAAAAAAAACGATGCAAAGCAAAAACCGATAAACCGATTTTAATGATGGCCTAAGTTTTGTCCTCCAAGAAATTTTAATTTACGTCTATAATAAACTTCACCCAAAAGAAGCCGGAAAAAACAATTTCAATGTTAACATTGGATATCCGAAAAACATAAAATGTATTAACTTTTTTGATGATATTGTATGGTCATTTGGAAGTAAGCTAAATTACCTAAAAACTAAAATAAAAAATCATAGAAATCTGACGATTTTGTAAAAAAATTATGTTGTTCCAAATATTTACCAAATGTTTTAAAGGTGACCATTGTTTTGCCTCTAAGAAAAGGGCAATAACTCTTTAAGTTTTTCGCAAATAAAGTTTTGTATTAGTCAAAACTCCTTTACTAGTTCTTTTTCGAGAAATTATCTAATATATAAAAATTTATAGAGTTTCATATGGAATACTTTAGGAAAGTTTTTATTAATACCTTTACAGCCGTTTTAGTGCTGTAGTCAATAGAGAAACGGTTTTTTCCGCCGCCATTTCGTTTCAAGATGCTCGCGATGAGACCGCCCAAAGGCACCTCTCCAACACCAACTCACGGGCGGATCTACGGGGGGCTTTGGAGCTGAAGCCACCCACCTCCCTCAAAATGGTAAAATATAAATATGTTTTATGGGAAAAAAAGTATTAAAAAATTGTCTCTTAATGTATAATTGTTCGTGTAATTACATTTAAAAGGACTTTAGGAATCACTTAAACACCATTTCATATAGGTAGTTAGTTTATTTCTTTTTTTCCAAAGTAATTATCGTTATTTTTATGAAAAAAAAAAGCTTTCGTGCTGAAGCCCTTCCCCCAAAATTATATCCTGGATCCGCTACTGCGCCAACTTAATATAGAGACATAATTTCAACCTTCCAGCTTTGTTAGGAGGAGCTGTGGAGATACACAATACTTTAAAAACAGGGAAAAACGTTCTTACACGCGGAAATTTTGACGAAATTTTTCCAATGCTAATAGTATTGTTCCGCCTGGAAAATCTATATACCGAATTTCAGCTTATTCGATCAAATAGCGGCCACTGGAGAAGCCGAAACATAGCGGGAAAAAATATATATACCAATAGCCGTATAGTAATTAAGAAGTAAACCAAACCAATTGACATATCTAAAATTGCAGAATCGTGATCTAGGGGTTCCAAAACGGATAAAAACCTCAAGCTTGTCTTCCACTGACGACTTTCAATATAGTGTGAATAGTCTATTTTTTCCTAAGGACAATAGACAAAAATATTTCACAGAGTGAAAATCTATTGCGATTTTCTAAAATATTATTTAATGAAATTTTGTAAAAAAATCGACGTTATATCACTTAATAAGGATATCTTAAAGCAATCAATCGATACTTATAATTTTTTCAGTATATAAACTTGAATTTTAGTAAATTTTAATATTGTATTATACTAGGTATTGGTGTTATATCACTTAATACTATGTGTGAGTTTTTTTTTGTTTTTTTAGGGTTTTCAGGAGACCTACGGAATCTTCCTCCGGGCGGCGTGCACCCCAAGTTTGCTTAACCCCAAAACAGCATATGCGGTAAATACATGCATATATATACAGTGGCTCACAGTCAAAATGATACACCTGGATATTGATAGAGATTATTGAATAAACAAATAGCTCAATTTATATTACTTACATTGAAAACAATAATTCATTGTAATCAATAAACATCTTAGTAATAGTAATATGTTCTTTTTATTGTTCTTAAGTTATTTTATATGTTCTTTTCTTATGTTCTGTTTCTTGTTGTGGAGGTGTATGGTAACTCCTGGTGTAGGGAATCTTTATTTTATAGATGCTATTTTGAATAAACCTGTTTATACAGACAGAAGAAATTTGTAAAATAGTTACTAAAAATTTAATTTTTATCAGGATAATGACCCTAAACTCTTTGACTAGTTAAGGAATGACTACTTGACCCAAAGTTATAAAACCTCTAACACAGTCGCCAGATCTTAATGTGATAGCACATCTGTAAGCAAAATTTGAAGTATAAATTAGAAAACATCAAAATTATAATAATGAAGACTTAAAAAAATATCTCCTCGAAGAATTGAACAGGCTAAGAATTCAACAAACAATTGGTCGACTCCATTAAAAATAAACTGAAAGATGTAGTTGAAAATGGCTTGCCCACAAGGTATTGAACTAAATTAATAGTATTTAGAAGTTAATAAGAAGTGAGGTTTGTTATTTTGACTGTGAGGTAAAATTATCCAGTTTTATTTTCCTTATTTTTTTTTTAAGTATTAACGATTGAATGTTTTAATTTTATTGAGTTTGTAAATATGTGAATCGAGATTATATATAAATCGGTTGAAGAGTTTCTGGTTTTATTTGCTTACTATAACCATTTAAAGTTGTTTTTTTTTTATTTTCTTACGGGGTGTATCAATTTCACTGTGAGCAGTTTATTAACTACCTAAATTATTATAAACAACAATTTAGGAAATCATTGAAAAAAGTTTAGAAAAAAATTGTCAGAGTTAAAGAAAAGATTTTGACAACTTTGTATCAAAATACTATTAAAATAATATTCATAATTTTATTCATTTTATGTATTAAAATATACTTAATCAGGTCTATTGGCTGTTAACTTCAACTTGACTTCACTATTATTTCCAAGGTTCAACTTCACTTAACAGTTAGTACAAGCAAATGAGCGTATGTGACAATAACTAAGTTTTGAGTAAACGATGGCTACGTTTAAATCTGTGCTGTAATCGCTATGAATTTTCTATACTTGTGGATTTTCTTTCTTATAAGTCCTTCATTATTCCTTAAGCCATTCTGACATTTGTAAAGGATTTTTACTTTGTTTGAAAATGTTTTGAATTACTTTAGGAATGATGAGTTGCATACTCATTAACAAATGATTGATATATTCATAACAGAGAATAATAACCGTATGTCGTAATGACGTATGAATTTATGTAACATTTCTGACTTCTTGGATATTATTATATTACCCAGAATATCTATGGACTCTAATATGTTAAAATAAATCGAAACCTAGCTGTGTTTAAATAGTGATTAACAAATTAATTAAATTAAAACTTGCTTATTTATTTGGCATTCAATTAAAATTTGGTCAACTGTGATCTGTATCTCTGTACTCCCATAGCCAAGTTAACATCTGTTGGGAGGTTAAGTGATAGGTCACTATAACCCTGCAGAGGTTGGACAGAACTATTCTATTTTTTATTAGATCTATTTTTAATCTTGAAAGTTGATTGAAGAATTTTCCGATCAGCCATGCTCTTAATTCTATATTTTCCAAAATGCACTTATGCCCCTTTACTTCTTGGGCCCTCATGTTACGCCTCACATATCAGCTACAGCTCACAGAGTCCAGATGTTAATGCAAACCAGAGCTATATTGTTGAGCAGCCACATAACCAACTTTGCGACAAGATCGACCTCTACGAATCCAATCGCTTAGCCATGTCAAATAACCCCATTGGTGGTCTCTATCCATCCCCATCAATCTAACAACTGCGACGAAGTTATAAAAATAATGCCAGAAATAGTCGTTGAAGACACACACCTGTGAAAACATCGACTTGGATTAAATAAATTATAAGATAAGAGACCTAATCTATAACAATGCTTCTTGATATTGATAAGTGCTTCAACTGACAAATAGGTAACTTCATTGTCAGGTATACCAGGTAATTTAGATAAGGAAACTAAACATTTAAAACGGAATCCACCTGAGCCCGTACCAAGGCCGGGACTAAGAGGAGGTTAAGGGGGGATTTTCCATTGTCGGCAGAAGGAGGAAAATTTCGGGAAATTTTTTTTTTTTAGCCGAAGTAATAAATATTTGTTACTCCCTTTAGGTTTTTTTGACCTTAATTAAGCCCATAAAATGGATTATTATGTTAATATAATAGTTATTTCGAAATATGTTGCTATCCGTACATATATTATTACAGTAAGGCTCGAAATCGGTTTTGTACCAAATATAAGCTCCTGTCAAGCTCAAATACCACGAATGGGTTACCGTTGGATTCAGAATTTCACGGGGGGTTAGCGAATCGTATTCTCCACTTTTGTTTTTCTTTCTAAAATAAATAAAGTCGATACAAACATTTTGATAGGCTTCGATACTGGAACGGTGGTAGGTCTGTAGATCGATATTGGACAAATTGGATCTTGAAGATTTTGATGCGTACAGCAAGACCCTGATAGTTTCCTCGGAACTATCAGATCCGGCGTTTTTAAGCCGAAAAACGTACTATTTTCGAGATAACGCAAGGCATAGGGTTCGCATCCACACAACCTTACATTAATTGTAGTACTGTCATTGAATACATGTCTCATTTCGTCGACTTGAGGTCTCTATGATCGAGAGAGGGAGAGTTTATATTATTCATCGATGGTGTTTTTGATCGGCAAGCCATATCATCGTTAATTTTTCACCAAATCTCAAGATTGAGCATCAATTTCGAAGGATTCCTTCTTCTTCATGCTGGCAAAATAGTCCAATCACCCAGAAAATTCAGGCAAACAAGTTATGAATGAAAATAAACTTTATTTGCAAATAACTGAAAAATTACACACTTTCTCCCCCTTTATTATATAAAAGATTACTAAATCCCCTACAAAAGGAAAAAAAAATCATCGCAATCGGACAATTTTTAGCAAATATACAGCTTACTGAAATTTGTGTACATGTTGGTTCCAAACAAAAATGAAGATTTAAATTAATTTTTGTTTGCTTGGCGGATTATATTTATCGATAAAGTAACATTTGATGTCTTAATCTTTTGATAAGTTGCATTTTCTTATTAATTTGGCACTTGATAACAATATGCTGTGCGAATTTTTCGCACGGGCCTACTAGTATAAATTATTGTTATAAAATGTTGGCTTTTATTGGGGAAGACGGAAGGTGAAAAATTTGGAGGCAAATTTTAGCTTGCCCAACCTGGCAAAAATCGCTCTGCCCTGCTCCAAACAAACCAACAAACATGAAGGAACCAAAAGGCTAAACAAGTGTCCAAAAGTACTGTTATCAAATGATACTTTAGGTATTTCCACTTATCCTTTAATAATTGTTATCGATACCCTATTGACGATTTGAAGCGTATTTATTTAGTTAAAGCCTTGAGTCTCTAACATATAGTGAACAGTTCACCTGCCAACGTTCCTCTAATTTAGACACCATCACAAAAACCATGATCACAAATTCAAAAACCAGGATCAACATCATGAAAAATGAAAAATAAAAGGAGAGAAAGAAAGGAAAAAGATATACGTTTACTAGATATATCTAGATAAGTCATCTTAATACATAATAAAGGAAACGTAAGATAGCATAAACGCTGTACAAGAAAGTTATTAAACAGCTGATTAGAAGGCTTGAGAAAACTAAAAATATTACGCGTACTAAAATCTCAAAAATATAATAATATTAGGGTTGTTCACATAATTTGTGATAAATGATTAATGTGTTACGGTACTATACATTTAGCAGAAATCTTTAGTGAACGACCCCTCTGTGCTAACCTGCTAAAGCGTTATGAATTAATGAATTAGTGTATTTCGTTCTCTTTTATCCAACATTTTATGGATTCCTTCCACACCTGCTTTAACTCACCACAGGCTGTGTTAAATTCGAGAGTGTTAGCGGTCATATTTAACATACGAATCTTAATTTTGTCGACTTTAACAATAGCAAAGTTCCTTCATTATGTCTTTGGTTGGCTTAAAGAGATGTCTCTCTCTTTTTTTATTTTTGTATTTGTGATCTTGTTTTGCTGTCCTGATGGCTGATTTGGCGAAACTTTTTGCCAGATTACCTGTTAACCTATATACTAGCAAACATTTATTATAGATTGAATATTTCCATTTACATCCTTTATGCTATTATTTTAGTTTTGGTGGTGCAGTGCTTCAATAATGGATTAATCAATCATTACAATGTTAGTTTGCATCTTAATCTTTAATTATTGATTGTTTCTCATTCCAGGTAGACTCGTTATCTTGGTACTACCTGATTTCAAAGTACTTCGAATTTCTGGATACAGTAAGTTCTTTTAATAAGAGACATGATTGTTTATTTACTGTTTTTTCAATTCACAATAATTAAAAAAAATATTTATAAGAAACTTTTTCCGTTGCTAGTATTTAATTATTGACACTTGCAGATATTCTTCGTCCTGAGAGGAAAGTGGAGACAAGTAACCTTCCTGCATGTCTACCATCACGCCAACATGGCGATATTCACTTGGATTTTCGTTAAATACGTCAGCGGTAAGGGATATAGTTCATCATTATAATTTACTAGATAATTATTATGAAAATTCTCCTCCACAAGATAGGTAATATCACTGACGGCAATCGTTAAAAATGCTCATTTAGCAATAAAAGATATCATACTGATCTGATTTAGTTTTTTATTACCAAACATTTGCGCCCTATAATGTACTGTCAATGAAATGAGTCAAATGATATAAAGGCCATTGTTGGCTATTGCAGGTATCCAGATATTTATGTTGGGGATGTGCAACAGCTTCGTCCACGCCGTCATGTACAGTTACTACCTCCTTGCAGCCTTCGGTCCAAGCATCAGCAGGTTCTTGTGGTGGAAGAGGTACATCACCAGGCTTCAAATAGTGAGTACTCTTCTCTTTCCAGTTTGTGTTTTATAGAGAAACTATCCCCTTTACTTATGTAGCTCGATCAGTGAAAGATCATAAGGCATAAGTATTTTATTTGATTGACAAAGAAAAACTTGTACTGGAAGGTTATTGAATTATGATTTAGCAAACTGTTTGATTCCAAGAAACAAAATTTGAATGAGTGGATTTAAAAAAAAAAGTTCAGAAAAGTCATATCCTGATAGTCCAAAGACGTAAATCTGCACGTTTTCATTTCTCGGTAAGGTTCCATCGAAACTACAAATTAGTAAATACGACATATTAGTGTTTTCTTTCGGACTAAAACTATCCTTCCATTTCAATATTTATTTTCTCAACGAGAGCCGTATTCTCCTAAACCAAGACTTAAAGTAAGCAAATCGAAAAAAAAAAACCTAGATCAATTGGGGAGCTCCCTTTGAAAAGAGCACATGTCCATAAAATAAATCGTGCATTTATCTCGTTTAAAAATTAGTTTTGATGAGCTGAACAGAACCCTCAAATCGTTTCATATCCACATAGAACAAACGAATCCCATCTCTCACGAACCTTACGTTAGGATAATTTTTTAATAGTACTCTTGTTCATTTTTTCAAAAATTCACAAAAAAAAGTTATATATTTGCCCATTTGAAGTGTTATAGTTTGTACAGGATTATAGTTTGAATGTTGCATCCACTTCAATTAAATACCATATAAATAAAGCGATTGGAATTTATTGGTCACAATACTACACCTCTTACAGAATCTCCAATGGTATATTGCTTTTTTAATGAGAAATTGATAGACTTGAAAAGAATTTTCATTGAGTCAACTTTTCTAGACTCGTTTATTTTAAATAATTTTTGTTCTCAAAAACGAACAAAAAGTAAAATAAAATCTGCATTATTATTACTATTTATTTATCTTTAGTTTAATGGTCTTTATTTGTCTGTAATGGTCTTCTGGCTACTCTAAATTCATTTGAAATAGTTAAAATATTTTTAAATTGGTTTTATTTATTTTTTTAATTCTAAAATAGCCCTAATATTAATGCCCTCTAATGTGGCAGAATGTAGTATTTTCAAATATTCAATTCAAGTATTTTCAGATAGTAAAAAAAATTCTAAAATAAATCAGACCACTTTAATATTAATTTTAATTATTATTTATACAAATTAAATTGACCAAATAACGTTTTTAATTATAAATATCATTACGGTACCAAATATGTCTTCTCATTAATGCTAATGACATTTTATAATTCAAAGCGGTGTATTTTTTTTTTTTATATAAACACAAATCTTATACAGTCTTGAATACGTTGATGAGAGCTTCTAAGATATATTAATAAAAAATAAACAATTTTAAGCATCTAATTATAGTAAACAGTTTAGTTAATGACAATTAAAAATTTACGAACCTGTTTCGTCACTTTTCAGTTGTATCAGTAACGGCAAGAGATACAATTAAAAAGGTATTTTGTGGTTTCTATCTCTTCCACAGGACCGTTACATATCTAAGTTTCTCTTGTTAACTTGTTGTGTATTTTAAAATAGGAATGGAAGTTTTTTAGGCTACGATTATGACTTAAATTACATAAATGAAGAATTTCTTTTGTATTTTTCATCGTGAAGTGAAAAAATATTTTTCTTTCACAGTTTTTGCCCACAATTGCGAAATTTATTTATTTTTCTGTGAATCAATATGAGATGAAGTCATATTGAAATGTTTAACGAAGCATGTTTATAATCGTTTTATCACCTAACAATAGTAAATAATTGTTTTGTAAATATATATATATATTATTTATATTTCTGTGATGAATCAACCAATACTCACCGATAATAAAATGCTTCATTTTTATTTTATTTTTCGAATCAGAAGCAGTTTTTTTCCGCGCAATGGTGTGAGCTCAAAGCGACAAAGCTTTCGAGTTTTGTTGAAAACGGTTGAGTGGTTTAGTAGAACGATGGCTCCGTAGTAATAGGAGAAGGTATTGACTGGACTATCTTATTTTAAAATACTTTTTTGATCTTAGGAAATTCATAATCGTATGAATTGACAAAACGGTTTTAGATCGATTACTATAATTACTGTAAATATGTATTAGTTGAATCCACGGTTCAGAACTTTAACTCGACATGAGACGGTTTTGGAAATTTGTTACAGTAACCAGTTTTCTACAGAACCCTCACGTATTCTGAAACGCAGTTATTTTTAGAGTACGGGGGAACTAAGTAGAAAATAACAACGATAACAGATCTATGATTTTTTTTTTCGTTGGGATGGGGGTTTTTAGCTCACAATCCGTGAGTCCAACTCAGCCAGTTTTGCTCCATGTGCTCTAGTTGGTTGGTAGCAATGCTCTAATTGGAATTACCTGCTCAAGAGAACTTAAATTGCTTCAGCCGAACCGCTATCTTACTTTTATTAGCGACTGGCCTTTGTAATCTTTCAAAGGATGATATAAATGTGTCCTATTGTCCTAGTCACAATACCTACGGGTCCAAAGTCCAGATCCTATTATATTTCCTATAATATAGAAAATGAAGTACCAACGTACTTCTTCATGAAACCGTTGTAGAATTTTTAATAAATTGGTGAAATGAAAAATTTTAATTACTTAATTATCAACGTCAACCAAATAAATGAACAAACAAATTAATTTATAGATTATAGCATTTCAATACTGAACATATCTTGTAGCAATTGTAATTTATGGCACTTTTAAAAAACTCTCACTTTAATTTCATTCAATACAAAGCTTCTAGCCCGGTTGCGAAAATCTAGGAAGTAATATTTTTGGATAAAAAAAATATTAACTTTATTGCTTTTTATAATAATAAACTATAAAATAAAGGTAAACAATCAATTAAGGGAAAAAAATATTAGAGAGCAATAAATAAAAAGTAGCGGGGTATCGTTTATAGTTCGGAAAATGACGGTGTTCTGCTCGGATTAATTTATTTCCTCACTCCTTTAATTTCGCAGATAAAATACTAGACATTGCAGGATTTAAAATCTATGAATACTCCAATCAGCCTATTCAGTCAAAAGGTATCATTAGCAGAAAATTTAAAATGTACCAAAATTAAATGTACAGAAGACCTTTACATATGCAGACAATATTTTTATTCTATATATTTCGATGTGGTTCTTTGAAGCACCTGCTTATAACATATTTTTTTTGTTTTTTATTTCGTCGGCCCAAGTCCTATACTGCACATAAATATTTATAGAAATTATAAAAAATATTTTATATCAAAGATCAATTCATGCCGAAGAATATATTGTTAACATAAATATATATAACAATACGATTAATTGGGATGTAACCAATCTCCTATATTAGAACTAATTCTTTTTCAGATTCTTCTCTCGCGCAAGATTAAAAAGAAATTTTGAATTACGTTTATAAAATTTTGTTTTCATAATAAAAACAGCATTTCATGATAAATGCTGAGTAGTTTATTCCTTGTTGCTATAGAAAAAAATGCTAAATGCATACAAATATGCATGGACCAGTTCGTAGGACATAGTTATTATGTTGTTTTTTTCGTACATTTGTAGCCACTGAACATTTTATTATCGCCGGCTACAATCGCTCTGATAATGAATGCTATTGTTTTATAATGATTACGAGATTAAAATCTTCGTAAAGGGAGTATTTTCTCTCGTCAAACAACTTTCTTTTTATCACTATTAATTAAAATGTTATTATGATAAATTTATTATTTGAATACTGTATTATTTATGAAATACCACGCCCATCGAAGACACGCGAGGCCTCACCCACTCCATAGCCCACAGGTGCCCTCCTGACCCAGTATAACGTCTCCGGGTCGCTTTCCTTACTAAACACTCTTTGTTTCCGCTCCAGCCACATATAACTCTCTCTGGAGGCTCGTTTAAAATCCAAAGGAAAATCTGCCTCAAGCTATTCCATAATTTAACTTGTAAGCGATGACTTACCTTTTAGGCTAGTAAATACCGATATGCAGATCGCATCGATATTCTTCAAACACATATAAAATACAATATATTTATATCCCGTTATACGATGCCTCATATTTTAAATCTTTGAAAAGAGTAATACAGTCAGGGGTGGGGCTTGGCTTCCTCAACAATAGTTCTTCAGATGTCCCTATCCTTAGCCTTTCCCTCCAGTCTGTTACCCTAAGCGGTCTGAGGTCGTCCTCCACGTCATCCAGACATCTTCTCGGTCTTCCCCTCCTTCTGGCTCCATAAATTCTGCTTTGGAGCATTCATCCAGCGTCTTCAGAACGTGCCCCAACTATTCGATTCTGCGGACTTTTACAAATCTCGATTTCGCTATTACTGTGTTACTGTGTAGCACAGTTTTTGTTCTTATCCTTCATTCTTGAAACACTTCATCGAACAAGAGGCCATATATATATATAAATGTATTTTAAGTATTTTCCTCTCGAAGACTAAACTTATAAGTATAAGACTAAACGTATAAAAGACTCGAAGAAGTAAACGCCCACATTTCAGCCTCGTAAGAATAGGTTTAATTAAAGTTTTGTTATAAAGGATTAAAGGATCAGGAGTATATTCACCTATAAATGCATTAACACTTACTTTATGACAATGAACATGAAAAAAAATAAATAAATTGTTCAATATGAAAAATGGAGATAATCACAATTGAATCAATAATGATTGAAACTTAAAAAAAAAATCACATTTTTATTATAAAATAAAAGGGAAGACAAACTTATCACTAACAATAGAAAATAAAAAGAAATAACTATACCAATATTTATCTTGTACTTTTATAAATTATTAGGATTTTTTTTAATGATTATTAGTTTTCGAAAGTCAAATATTATTTTTGATATATCGATATGAAAAATGATAAAATATCGACATTTCGATTTATTAATCTTTTTCAACCTATTCAAGACCAAGATCGAAGGTCTTTGACTGTAATTTATGACAATTTTATCACTAGCTACCTACCGTTATATATTCAGTTTTTTGAAAGTCTATTCTTTAACGTTTTGAGTTCTCATATTGATATATTATGTAGATGTAGAGAATAGTTCTTATTACTATGAATTGAAGAACCGCGGTCGGGACAAAAGAAATCGAATTGACTGTGTCTAAATAGGGCGCCTCCCCGTGCAAGAAAGTTGTGCTTTCAAAAGACGTTGTTCTAAACGATAGTTTTAACGAGTCATTAAACTTCCATGAAGGTACCTATTATTATTTTTGTAATACAAATGGCTTAGATTGTTTCATTTACTGTTAAACTTTTCTACCTTCTTTTATCAAAATAAGAATTAATGTTCTGTCAGATCTATCTTTGACATGAAAACAAATTGTGGAGAAGCTGCCTATCTCTCAAGTATCTCTCAAAAATGTATGCAGGTCAAGCAATATTTTTTTTTAACGATACAAAGAATTACAGAATAGATGATTTAATTCGATGCCCTATAAATCCAAACAAAACCGGCTATACTACTGATTCATATTAAATTTGAAAATAAGAGCTACTGTCTAGTAAGTACTATAACCTCGGCTGTACCGAAGACTAGTTTATTTGGTATCATTTGGAAAGAGAAATCTATGGTTATTAGATTTTTTTGGCAGGAGTTTCTTTTCTTCACAACCATAAATAAATAAAAGCTAAGTACCACTAAACCCAATGGTTGATGGTTAATGAAACAGAATAAATAACTACCTGCCTTCTGTTACAGAATAAATAACTATCTGCCAGATTCGAACCAGGGGCTTTGAGCTTTAGAAGTCAGTGCCCTACCCCGCTCATAATAATTAACAAAAGAAAATGTAATTGAAGACGCTTGTCTTAAAAAATATATTCGATATATAGTGATGAACGAAAAAGTAGTACCGCTCAAACAATCGTCTATGTGTTTCAGTAAACTATGAATTTATGTAAAGTTGAGATATTTTTTAACGCTGTCCCTGATTTTCATTTTCATGTATAAATAGAAAAGTTTCTACTATAAACGTTGCAAATGAAATAACATATTTACTGGATGATTCTACACGAAGCTACAATACAAATAGGAATAGTAAACATCAGGAAAAATACTTCGTCCTTCTCTATTGCCGTATCAACTTCGTATTATACTGTTTCATTGTTTTTGGTGTAACAATAATATTGCAAAACTTCCAATAAATTTATATAAAGAGCCAAAAATAGTGTAAAATACGACTTATCAGAAAATATTAAATAGGCAAAGTTTGCCGACTTCCAGATTGAAACGCCCCTATTGCTAGAGTTTTCGTAAACAAAATAGTTGTAGGTTACGATAAGATGATTTACGAAGTTTCAGCTGAATGTTAATAATTTGATAAAAAGGGGTTTGTACTACGGACTATCGACGAGCTAACTCAAAATAGTTTCTTCACTAGTTGCTGAACTTGACTGAATTCATGGCATGCTCACTTCGGCTAGTACAATTTTTATTTCTACTGCAAACCAGAGCTTTAAAAATTTTTTTTTTCTGCGAGAAAGCACATTTGCAGTTTTCCAAATGTATTTGTGTAATCAGTAATATAAATTGGCATTTTAAAAACTCTGAATTGAACTAGTGTACCTGTGAAACGAACTTCTAACCTACCTCTTCATAAATGTCTGGGACTAAAATAGATTCAGTGAAGATATAAAGCAAAATATACATGTCCCAGTAAAGTAATAAACATCTATCAAAGCCTAGGTTTGCAGAGGCAATATGATATAGCTTATTAAGCTTTCTCTTATAATTTTTTTTTCTCGTTTATTTATGAAATGATGGTTTTAACCCCTTCCCGTCAGCAAATATGTACTATTTAAATTACATAAAACTTTGGAGAAAAAAACACAAATACGTTCTCTCATTTTACATTAAGTGGATTGTTGCTTATTTGTAAAATAATTTATTGTTATATGAATTTATTTTCATTAAGAGAGTCCTTCTTGTAATTACTACTAGCATCCATCACTGGTGAGTCTAAGGGGGGGGGGGGAGAGGGAGAGAGCTTTCAGGCTGAAGCCCTTCCCTTCGAAATCGTAAAATTTTTATTTTTTCATTGTTCATTTTTTCATTCATATTTGTTACTGTGAGTGATCTAGGCTAAATACCTACAATGACAACATGTTCTATTTCTTAAAATATAATACACATACAGAAACTTTTATTTTATTTATTTTTATTATCATCTTCCCTTACCTCTCGGCAATACAGATTTGTGGAAGAAGTAGCATGACACCTCTACCACTTTTTCTCTTTCTTTGCACTTCTACCTTCTACAATAATAAAGGTTGAAATTATCAACCCCCACCACAGGCGGATTTACGGAGGGACTTTCGGGCTGAAGTCCCTCTCCCCCTCCCAAAATGGTAAAATGTATCCATATTTTATGGTAAAAAATATAAAAACATTATATCTTAAAGTATTATTGCTAGTTTAATTACATTTAATAGGACTTCAAGAATCACTTAAACACCATTTCATATAGGTATGTTAGTATGTTTCTGTTTTTCCAATGGAATTATCGTTATATATGTGAAAAAAAAAAACTTCCTGGCTGAAGCCCCCCTCCCAAAATTAAATCCTGGATCCGCTAGTGACCCCCACTAATTCCTTCCACCCGTACTCGAAATCGCTGAGGAAAATCCTCCCTTATGATATAGAGTCTGGTTTCCCTTAGTAGTTTGGTCCTTATGGTCTCAAATATACACATACATCAACATAAATACACTGGAACTAAATATAACCATGTCTTAAGAATTTTTTTTTTTAAATTACCTCTAAAAGTATTATTGTTCGTGTAATTGCATTTTTAAAAGGACACAAGAATCACCATTCCATATAGGTAGTTAGTTTCTTAAATTAAATAATTAATGAATTAATGATCTTTATGAATGAATTAATCTTATTATTAAATTTATAATTATTAATTATTTAAGTTACTGAAACTCATAGTAAAGATTATTCGTTTGTTAAATGATATAATTTATAAAGTTTTCATTTTATGTTCATATTTAATTATATCAATTATAAGACTTCTATTTTGCTAAATAATTTAATGTTCTCCAAGTTGAAATATAATACTTTATTGTTTGTAGTTTAATGTTTCAGCTCTCTGTAGCCAACAGTTCCAATTAACAATTCACTAGTAATTATTTTATATAAATCATTTGTTGCAGCTTCTTAATCTGCCAAAATATTGTAATATAGTTTAAATATTATTATTAATATCCTTCAGGAAATAATATACCAAAAGACTGCCAGGTTAATAGTATTGAATAGAAAAGTTTAAAGTTAATTAATAAATGATATCTATAAGGCAGATTGAATGGTTGTAGTAAAACATATTTATTTATATTATATATATTTATGTATATAGTAATCTGGCTGAAGCTATCCAAAATTTAATCCTGGATCTGCTAATTATGTTACTGAAAAGTCTTCTATAATATTAATACTTACACGAAACCTTACCCTAAAAGTTATTTGTTTATTTTCAGATCCAGTTCGTGGCAGTTATTGTCTACCTGTTGTATCTGTACGTCCAGGGATGCAATACACCGCCTGGGTTCATACTGTTCTCCATCTGTAACACCTCTTCCTTTCTTGTACTCTTCCTCCTGTTCTACGCTAAGGCTTATGCTGACAAGAAGAAACTCCAGGAATGAACATTGATGGCTCACTAAGGTCTATTGTCCACGGAAAGTTGATTGAAGGCTGTATTTGAGCATGTAACAGTTATGTTACAACTATACCTGAATATGCAACAGTCCTCTCTAATCTTGGTCGATGCAAGCAATAAATAAAAAGAAAGAAATAACATAAAAATTAAATAAAATAAACACCATAAATCTGTTTTATTTGTTATACTGTAATATTGCAGTAAAACAGTCTTTTTAATAATTTTTTTTAGTTTCCATGCAGATAAGGCATGGAAATGTAATTATGTTTGAGAGATGTATGATGTAAATTATATTTATAAATTGTAAATAAAATATATTGTTATTAGTTTGTGGATAGATACTAGAGTTAAAATAGATGGATTAAACTCATCAAATTTAAGTAAATATACTATTTAATTTTAAATAATCTTGTGATAGGTACTTCAAAATTATTTTTAAACAAAAAATTGAGACATACAAAGTCATAAAATTGTGATAAATTATATTTTGTTTAGTAATAGAGGTAATTTAAGATAAAATGATGTATAGATACTTTTATCAGATGTTCTATTTTTATATTAAGAGTAAAGTACTCTAATTACAAATATAAATTTCTTTCTAAATTGTCCCTGTTTCAGTGTTATGTTATCAATATGTCAAAGTAAAAAATTTGATTCAAATTGAATCAATTTAACTACTTTAGTCAAGTGTTTTCTAATTCATTTGCTAAATATAATATCAATAATTTTAGTTAAGATATTATAAGATGAATATAAATTATAAAATGAAAATACTTATAAGAAATTGAAGTTGAACTTTATCTTCCTCAAATTCCTTTAAACTGATATTTTTTAAAATTTATACTACTACAATTTAAATTTATTTAACTAGATCATTTGATTAAATAAAGGAGGATCAGAAACAAAAAAAATAACTAGATCATAAATGGTTTAATATTTTATCTGGTTTTGATATGAACACATTTTTCTGCCTTGAGTCAAAAACTTCAACAATTGCTTTCATTAACCAACAGTTCAGGTACATTTAATTTAATTCTTTATGTTCGGTATTGATATAGCTTTTTACCTATCAAGTGTTTAAAAAAAAAATTAAGTTGCAATTTTACAATGGTTCTTACTGTCATTAGCAATCATTTATATACTTCAAGTTCATTCCAATGTTGTAAATATTATAATGCTATAAGATGAATATAAGTAAAACTGTGTTGCAACAATATTTGCTCCTGGATAAAAAATAAAAAAAATACATCCAGATTCGAAACTGAATAACAGTTTTTCTCAATAAAGTTGAAACAGTATCTAGAATTTCTCTACTTATAGTTTAAGTTAAAATAAATGGCTCATGGTCTATGAAACTAATTTTGTAAAAACTATTTTATAGATTAATATATAAAATTATGTTACAACATGGACTATGGATATAGAAGAAGTGAGAGCTTACAGTATTTATCTTTCTTTGTTGGATAAAAACATTAATTATTTATTAAGAGTTAAATTATTTATAATTTATTTATTTTTACTTTGTTTTTTTACTAAACACTCTAACAAATCTTCTCTTCATCATTCACCACAGTCAACCATCAATCCACAATTAATTATTTATGTATCATTATTTTCCATTAATACAATCCCAATACGATAGTGCATAGCATAAGTTTGGGAACTAAAAGTACTTTTATTACATTATAAGCAGTAGAATGATTGTTGGATATCGAAAATCTCATTAATTAGGTGGAAGTAAAATTTTGTCTGGCAGTTTCTCAGGTACCTGTACAATCGTTAATTTTTTTTTATTTTGAAAAAGAAGTCATGTCATGATCAAAACATGAAATGTTTACATAAAATGTACTGGAAAAGCTGATTCAGGTAATCACCAGAAAAATAATTTGGTTATTTACAGCTTGCAGATAGAAAAATATGAAAATAGTCGTTAACCTATCTCATTAGTGGACAGTTGGTGATAGTTTATTGAAGTCTTCAAACAACCCTCAAAAGCCTCAAACCAAATACCTTGATGTTGATGAGTAGAACCAACAGTGGATCCAGGATTTAATTTTAGAGGGCTTCAGTTCAAAAGCTTTTTCTTTTTTTTTTTGTACATACATATGAAGATAATTACTTCGAATGAAAAAGAAAGAAACTAACTACCAAAATGAAATGATTGTTGAAGACTTATTAAAAAAAAAAAAAAAAAAAATGTAATTACACGAACAATACTTTTAGGATTAATTTTTAATATTTTTTCCATGAGATATGGTTGATTATATTTAGTAGTGGATTTATTTATTATATTTAATGCATCACAATTTTTAAAAAACAAAACATTGTGATTTTTTCAAGTATTCAGCTTAGATCACCCACAGTAACAAATATGAACCAAAGAAAAATTAAAATCATTATTCCATTTTGGGGGGACTCAACCCGAAAATTTTCTTCCCCCTGTCTCTCATCCCCAATATAGGCAATAGGATTGATGGTTTAAATCAATCATAGCACTTCCATAGAGAGCAGTCCATACAATTGTGAAAAAATGACCTGATGGCTTAGATTTGTGGGAATTACTGTAAAAAGTTATTGTTATAAACAAAACATTGTCGGTTTATTTTGTAAAGTCAACGATTGGCATTTCATAATCTTAAATTTCCAAAAGTTTTGTTGAGTTAAGTTTTTATTTATAAATAAGGTCACAATTAAAAAAAAAAATTTCTTAGGTGTTCAGTTTCATCAAATGTATACTTAGTGACTTTTTGCAATAAACCAATGACATCAATTCTAAATTTTTATCTGTTTGGTAGGTTTTTTCGTCACCTCATTACGCGACATGACATAAAACATGATAGTTGAACTGATATAGAACTATAGGAACGTTTTAACCAGTACGATGTGGGGGCGGAGTGGCCGAGCGGGCTAATGCGTTTGCACAGAACTGCGTGTTGCCTGGTAATCCAACTAGAATCAATGTGATAAAATAATACTGATTTCGCGTCCCTGTCATGGAGAAATTTTAACTCAGGTATAAATCTCCCGCCCTCACCCCCTGGCCCGGGACATCTCAATTTTGTCAAATTTAATCAATTTTAGCTTTCTCTAAAGTACCTTTAATTTTTTTTATTTGAAACAATTGACTATATCACATTGATCTCTAATATGAAAGATAGTTAAATATAAAATATGAAAGAATTTTATAATAATTTAAAGGAGAAATAAGAGATCGAACGGAGAATAGTTGTAATGGAGGAACAAAGGGACAAAGCGCGCTCGAAAGATTAGAACAGGCTTCCATACCTTAACATGAGCTTAATATAACACTGACTCCGACAATATTATGTAAATATGCATACGCGGTTTTTATAAGTGCAATTGTTGGTATTATTTAATAAGGGTACTTATAAAAATAGAAATACCCACAATGAAATTTAATATTTAAATAAATATAACGTCTATAATCTTTACTTTCGCTTCTCCTTTGTCTGAAAATACTTATTTCTGCTAAGAAGAGGGTAGTAAGTGAAAGTTGTCTAACGCGCGCACCGCACCGTATTTTTTTAACATGTCGAAGTAAAATTCTCCTTTTTTATTTTTTTCCTATATAAACATTTTGTAATGTTTTGTGTGTTTTCTGAACTAATCTATACTTAAATAATTTTCAATCGATTGCAATATTCATGGCTACGTATCTTTTCATTTTTCCGAAAATTCAACGTTCTGTATTTTTATATATTTGTTATGTATAATGTTACATATATATATATATATATATATTTGTTTAAAATATTTTTTTTTTCAATGCTTTTAATCTGAACCTTGATCTATCGGGAGTTGCTAATGCAATGCTCGCTCTCATTAAGTGTAATGTCAAAGGCAGTGGCTTTACATATCAGGCATTCTTGGCTGGTTCGTAGCCCTTGGTTGCCAATTTCTGTGAATTTTCGACAACAGTCAAAATATAATACAGTACCGAATTTAAATTTGTAGTTACTTTAAAGCCGTTAATGAAAAACTAGTTGGCCCGTGCGAATAATTCGCAGGAGGTATTAGTCACTGATCAAATTACAAAATAATAAGAAAAGAAAATAATGCAACGCATCATAAGATAGAGGAAACAATTTTATTTTTTTGGTAATTATGATCGATCAAGAAAGAAATTAAAATTAATTTAGAACTTCATTCATGTTTCAAACCAACATGTTAACAAATTACAATAAGCTGTATGTTTGCTAATATCAGTCTGATTTCGATCATTTTACTTCTCCTCAATGAAAAGAAAGAGAGTTAGCGAGTCAAATAATGATAAAAATGAGATGCCAAAACTATTTCATTCGATGTTAGTGAATTACGAGGACGAATATTTCGGAAACCGTAGAAGATAGCTCAAATATGATTTACCATTTCAAATTTTACCAGCTTTGAATTTACATAGGATATTATGATCGCTAGAATGCCTAGTTTCACTGATATAAGCAGATAACCAAACACTTTTTTGAGTGCCGAATTTTGATAGGTAAGGAATTCTAGAAATTGACAGCGCGAGGAGTTTTGAAAATAAAGGAGTTTTGAAATGAGGCAGATCTGTGAGAAGAGACGTAAAGATCAGAAGGTCAAGATCTAGTGAAAAGGAATCGACTGAGGACTTGAATTGGAGAAGGTTGTAGGCGTAAGAAGGACGATGATAGTTGATGATTTGATAAAGGAACGTACCTAGGAAATATTGTCTTCGAAAGGAGAGAAAGAGCCACCTTAACTGAGTGTAGTGGTGAGAGACATGGGAGTATCTCTGGGCACCAATCACAAATTTTACGCAGCTTTTCATTAGTCTTTTCAGTCTATTACGGAGCTCCACCGAGGCCATCATACATCACACAGCTGTAGTCAAAGTGGAATGAGATAGGAAATTAGGAGTCTACGCGTATGTTCAGGTCTCCATATGGTCTTCATCCAATAAATATGGTCTCCCATCTATCTTCATCTGGCCGCCATTTTGACCTTTCCTCTGGCAGACATGGATTTTTCTAATGACCCCTGTGGATATGTTCAATTTATACCGACAAACTTTTGTATGAAATAAATCCCTTTTTTTTCTCTGGATCTCGGACAAATATCATGTCTGCATCAAAATCTCCAAACCCCAATTTGTCCCATCTCGATCCAGCAACTTACCGTTGTCCCATTATTGAAGCAGAGCTAAATGCGTATATCTAATAATAATAATCTTTTATTTATTCTGGGACGATTCCCTTTAGAATAATTAACAAGGTCAGAAATGAGAGCTTTTGAGCCTCAGATATATATACAGGTATTTACAGAGTTTAATAATAGATATAATAGAGAAAAAAAAAGTTATCTTCTAGATTAAATCGATTAAGAAATAAATAAATAAATTAAAGAACAATGAGATGAAAATAATTGGATTTACAATTTTAGAGGAACTGGATGGAAAGAAAGCGATTGAATAGGCGGGATTCAAAAGTAGGGAGATTATTGGAGCGACGGATGTCGAGAGGGATGGAGTTCCATAGGCATAAGGATCGAATAATAAAAGATTTATCGAAAGCAGCGTTTCGGTGGGCCATTATATATAAATCTGAAGACCGGGAACGGGTATGGCGGGAGTGGACAGAGGATTTAAATTGAAGGAGCTTGGAGATGTATGAAGGACGGCGGGAGTGAATGACTTGGAAGAGGAAGGATGTGTGGACGGGGTGGCCGAACGGGCTAACGTGTGTGCACAGCACCGCTGTTACAGGTTGCGCAACCTGATGTATGAGACTATGGATTTAAAATAGTCACGAGATCGCGTCGCGGTGCGGAGGGAGTCTTTTAAATCTCCACCCACACCTCCTGACCCAAGGAAAACCCTTGAAGCCTTTAAGGATTTAAAGGCGAGTGACGGGAGGAAAAAAAAAAGAAAAAAAAAAGAGAAAAGGGTGCCAGGAAATACTTCATTTATGTTAGAAAAAATAAATAAACGGATAATTCGATTCTCTAACGCTCCGTGCTATTCCGAATCCAACGGTACCC